CCCCGGTGTTGTAGTGTGTGCCGTTGCTGCAGTGCTGCCTGTTGCTGGTCCCGGCTGCTGCTCTCTTGGCGAAGTTGTTCCCAATCCCCACATACGGCAAAGCTCCAGGAGTCTTGGCTTCGAGAAGGCCTTTGTACCTAAGTCTCCTAATTGAGAAACACCAGGGATATGTCGAAGGGTAATCTCCTTGAGACGCACCGCCTCACGAAGATGAAAGGCACGAACTCGTAGGTGACGAGTTTTCCAAGTTCCAGCTGCCTCGGAACACAGTCCTACAGCAGCCTGATTGTCGACGTAAAGTCCCAGGCGAGGAGGGTCCGGCCTGACTTCGGAGGTAAAAGATGAGAGTCCATAGACCATCTGGATGGCATTGACAGCCTCTATGAGCTCTGCCTCGGCAACAGACAGAGAAACCAGTGGTTGTCTCCCACATCGCCAAGATATGGGGCACCCCAGATAGCAAGCCAGCGAGCAACCGATGCTCCGCCCCCCTTGGGGGGCGAAGCTGGCATCACTGTAACCCTCCACATCATGGTTGTGGGTTGTCGGCTCGTAGAACAAGAACCAATCGGCCGTCGCCTTCAAGTAGCCCAAGGTTCTCATGCCGATGCGCTCCACAGTCTCAGGGTCCCTCACGCACAGACTGCTCATGGTGGCAACTGTGTGTATCAAGTCTGGCCGGCCCTTTGTTGAAAGCCAGAGAAGTTCGCCAGTGATTTTCTGAGCACGCCTCAAGGTCTGCTCGTCGTACTGCTTCTCATCAAAGTTCACCTCCCCCAGCAGCCATGACTGAGGACATGGCGTCCCGTGACCATGCCCCTGAACATCATAGTGTCGAAGTACCTCAGATATGTAGCCAGTCTGCCCGATCTTGAAGCCGTTGAGCGTCTCGTAGATCTCTAGCCCCAGGAAACGAACTGGCTGTTCCATGGATGCCCATGTCAAATCCGAGGCCTTCCATTCTTGTGTGATCCACCCATGAGTAGCCGCAACGACCTCCTCCTCACCCAGATACAAGATGTCGTCAACATAAACGTTGACGAATGCCCGAACTTCTTCCTGCATCGTTCCATCTGGGCCAGGCGTCATGACCACCACACTCCAAACATTCTCATCCGCCCTGTGCTGCCTGAGGAAGGCATCCAGCTCTCCCACCTTGAATCGAGCTCGCCTCAGTCTGTTGTCCCGGAAGGTACTCCACAGCTTCGGAGAGCGCCTAAAGCCATAAAGAGCTCGGTCCACCCGAAATAAGCACTTCGCAAACGGTATTTCCGCCGCCTGGAACACCTTGGGAGGGTAAAGGCAATGCACCACCTCGCCATCGTCCATCGGGGCCAAGATGAAGGCATTCCTGATGTCTGTTCCTGCTGCCTTCCAAGGACGTGATCCACCTCGTTTGTGTGCGGCATGAACAATCATCGCCCTCAAGGACTCCCCTTGACATCCCCCTGCATAGCTGTCTTCCTTCTGACTCCTTCCCTCGAAGTTGCCACATATGACAAGACGAGCCTTTCTTTTGAAGAATGAAGGCGACCCCTTCACCAACTCTCTTCCAGGATCATCAAGCAGCTCAGGATTGTCTGGAGGTTTTGCCGTGAAGACTCCTTTAGCCGGAAGTATAGATAACACTCCCGCCCTCTCAAGACGACGATGCTCCTCCTCCGTGAGGGGAACCAAGGCTCCCGCATCCAGCAGAGCCTTCATCTCCTTTCCAATGGCCTCCTTCCACCGCGGAAGGAATTGCTTCACCTCGTCAAGCTGTACAGTGTATACGACCTGAAGAGGACCTTCAAGGTTCTCCAAGACAGGCTCGACACCATGTTTCCCGTCATCATCCTCCACAAAGCGACATAGCCGGAACCAATCCCCAACCGAGTAGGTCTTGTAAACCTTCTGCGACTCCCTTTGCTCCAAAGCCCTTTCAGCTTCCAACGTCGCCTGGTTCACACCCTCAAACAGTTCTTGATAGTCCTCCGGCACACATCGTCGTAAGTTGTGTTCCTCATCTAGCACACAGCGAGACCAATAGCGGCCATCCATCTCACCCTCTTGGTCCTCCACCAACCACTGGGACTCATCCATATCGTCACCAGCGTCTTCACCTCCAGCGGACTCCATCCAACCTTCAGTGGTTTCATTATCCGGAACAGCGTCAGTAGTTGTCGACACTGGTTCCACCAATCTGCTCATGCAAAAGACGTTGCCATCCTCGCCACCCTCGTCGGCCCTAAAGACTCGCACCACAGGCGGTGTTTTTCCAACCACGCGTCGTTCAGGATGCCAGTCATCACCTTCATCTTCGTACGGAGGTAGTTCGGGTAGGCGACGGACATTTGTTGTGTACCAAACATTGCCCTGCACGGTGCGAACAACATGACCATGGGAGACTGTCTCAACAGGCCCCAAATAAGACCCCTGGATCCACTTGTCCTCGAAGTCAGTGCCCCCTTGGCCATACCTCTTCCTCTTGATGAACACCTGTGATCCGAAAGGAGCGACGCTAGGATTGCCCCTTCCAAAGGCCTGAGCAGCGTGTTGTTGGCAAATCGTTGATGCCGCCCTTGACCACCACGATCTCACTACGGCATCTCCAAGCTTGCTGTAGGCTTTGGCCTGTCCAAGCAAAGTTCGCACCCGGCCCTTGATGAAACCAACAGCCCGCTCCGCCGCCCCATTTTGTGACGGATCATCGCCTTGAGTCTTCGTGACTATGATGTCCCTCGCCGCTGCCCACATGTCCATACCCTCGTTCATGAACTCCCTTGCTCGGTCGCAATGTACTCGTAAGACTGGCAGGCCCCGTTGTCTTAGAGACAGGTACATCTCCTGCAAGGCCTTGAGTGTTTCCGCCTTCTTCCTGGTCTTCAAGGGTCGACAAAGATAGGCAGACTCGAACTCGAAGGGCTCAGACATACGCTCCAGGGCCTTGATCTCCTCCTGTTTCGGATCATCTTCCTCACGAATAGCAGCAGGATCAGGGCCAAGCTCCTCCGAGACCCCTACAGGCGCACCTTCAGTAGCAGGAACCTCTGATACGACATCCTCGCCCTCCATCCCAGGCAACCAATCACCCTCGTCATCCGGTTTGTCCACGTCCCCAGGCTGCACACCAGACTGCTCAGGGTCCCCTGTTTCTGGGATCTTAGGAAAGCGGAAACACCCGACTAGCAGGTAGCGCGCTCCATCAGTGCCCGTCGCCCTAAACGGACCAGCAGTGTCAATGCTCAGGACATACGCTGAAGGATGAGCGACTCTCCTATGTGGCTTGCCCGTCGCCCTTTGGATGCACTCCCGGCAATCCTTCCTGTATGGCAAATGGTCCCGTCTCAGGTGAATGCGCCATTCCTCCAAGCTGAATTTAGCGAGCTTCCCTTCACCTTCTTCACCATCTCGCCTTCCCAGCCTTCGAACCATACTGGTCAAAGCATGTTCTCGCGTAGCAAAACCGGGCCAAGCACATAGAGCATCACAGACAGAACTTATCATCCCCGTTGGCCATCGACTTGTTCTTGTACCGGCCTTCAGACCATGACCATCCTCACCCTCCAAAGACCAGAGATTGAGGTTCGTACCCAAAGTCGTAGGTCCCAAGTTTTCCAAATCACACTTGACCTCATCCATGGTGTACATCCTCGCGAAGGTTTTCCACATGGTCGTTCCAAACAGGTCGTAGCATGGCACCCGTCCATTGGCCTCCTCCTCATCCTCACTTTCCAGCTCCTCCTGAGCCTCACGAACCTGGTCCCTTCCATGTAGCGCTGGGCCCTCATCCCATTCCAAGGTTGAGCGTATCGGAAAACCCAAGCATCGAAGTTCCCCGACCTTTTCATCCGGCAACTTGTCGAGGCCGAGAGGTGTGTAGGCCGCCACGAGAAGCTCCTTCTGAGTTTGATCCTTCCCCACATACGCATGGTGTTGTTTTGGATTGAACCTCGTCATCCTTCCAGAGATCTCAACCAAACAGCCCTTTAATTGTTCAAAGCCAGAGAATGGACAGGACCTTTCGACACATCTCCCTCCACCACCAAATTTCTGTCCATCCAGGTCCCCTTCAAGCCACAGACCGGAGGAAACCTCGCGGCCAGGATCATCATCGCCCAACCCATTCTGTCCATCCAGGTCCCCTTCAAGCCACAGACCGGAGGAAACCTCGCGGCCAGGATCATCATCGCCCAACCCAATCAAGTAGTTGTTACTATCACGAGCGTTCCAGACATCTCGATGTCGAGGCACTTCATTCGTCTCCATGACCAACAAAGCCGACCAAGAGCAATCCTCATGCAGCTGCGTTCAGGTACTTCGTCAACCACGGTCTCTGGAGTGCCTCTGTAGTAACCCCCCGATTGCCGCCATGAGCATATGCGCCAAGCACCACAGATCCTTCTTGTTCGCCTCGGGATGAGGCTCGCAAGTTCTTCTTGAAGTTCATCTCTTCCAACAACATGCGGCACTCACGATGCGAAAACTTGCCCAGGTCGAACCATTCCTTAGCCAGCCTCTCTTGCTCCTCAAGGTCACTCTCTTTGTTGTCGCCTTGCTCTAGTCCAGGAACCTTCCCCGATTCAACTCTCGGATGTTCCAGCAACCAACCAACTCCAGGACCCGGGGTTTCTAAAGATCCCTCTCTCCAAAGGATCCTCCTACCCTCAGAAGCTACTGACCAAAGGATCATCGCCCTGGCAACCAGCTGAACTTCCCGAACATGTTGCGAGGACAGCATCGTCTCATTTCCTGTAAAGGGAAAGGTTCTTCGAGGCGGTCCCCCAAATAGAGCCTTAATTTTGCCCCGAGCAGCTCCCCACAAAAGCAGCTTGAAGATGCCATCCTTCTTTAACATGTCGAAGTGACTGCTAAGGTTCAGGTCCACCTCCACCAGAACATCATCACGATGCAGACTGGCCTTCCATTCGCTTGAAGAAGCCAGCCCCTTCTTCCTTTTGTCTCCCGAGAAGAGATGCACCAGCCAGTTGTTGCTAAGGAACATACTCCTTCGTTTCCTTCTACTCCACGATGCCCTTCAAGAGCCTCCAGCCCTCTTTGTTCGTCACCGGGAACTCCTCAGGGATGGTCGCGAAAGCCTCCGGGGTCACCCCCTGCAAATAGGGCACCTTCTGGATGAAGCCACAGAAACTCGTTCGAGCCCCAGTTTCCACCAGATCCATGAGGTGCTGTTCCCAACCGCGATCTCCACAGCCCGAGAGCTCAATCTCCTTGAGCTGCCTCTCCATATCCTCCAAGGTCTTCGTGAACTCGCCAACCCGTTTTTCCTCCAATTCCTTGATGAGCTGTAGCGCGCTCACCTCGGTCAGCTCTGGGCAGAAATGGTTGACTTTCACTCGCAACTTGCCATGGATCGGGTGTCGAACTTCAAGCCTTGTCGGAGACCATCGTACCGTGCATCCAAGCAACTGCACCAACTGTCCCATAGGTAGTGTCGTTCCACCACCCGAAGGGTTCGTAGAAGGCGAAGACAACAGGGTTCCACCAGCGTTCTGCGAAAGGACAACGTGATCATCATTGGCCAAGGCAACCTTCACCAACTTTCCTTGTTCCACCTCACGATCGTCAACAGCAACCCGAAAGGCATGGCTCGCTCCCGAATCCAACAGGGCCATCTTCTCCTCGGAATCCTTCTCAACCGCCTCTGGCTCAGTCTGCAGCAACCGTTCATACACATCCATTTTCACACGGAAGTCTTCATTGCCAACCCTCTCCGGAAGCACCACCAGCATTCGCAGTCGCCGCAAATCCTCCAACTGTCTCTGTATAACCCCCAAAGGATCCGAGGGCGCCGAAGAAGCCGAACCTGTGCCAGAGCCCTGAGCCTGAGTGGAAGTCAAGGCCTTCAGCATCTTGTTTGTTTCGGACAACATCGCCGCCACCTGCTCCGTGTCGATCTTGTTTGAGGTTGAAGGAGTAAGGCTTGAAGGCTGCTCACGAGTAGCATCTCCAGCCGGCACCGACGGACCTGACGAAAGCGAAGGACCTTCCGAGGAAGCTGACCTTCTTCGTAGGACAATCCCTTGCCCTGTGCTTCGTCGAACCACAAAGGAGGCGCCGTTCGGCTCGCTGAAGACCCTCCCACGAATGCCTGAAACTGCAGTTCTTTCCATTTCTGCAACCATCATCAGTAGTGAACCATGAACACGGCTTTGTCGGATTCGTAGGCGGTGGAGAGGCCTTGGCCTTTGGCCTCTGAGTGGTATTTCCGGCATCTGAGGGCTGTTGCTGCATGCCCTTCAGTTTGGGTCCGGGAGCCTCCGATGCCTGTGACGGTGTAGCCTTTCTCCCAGTAGCCCCAAGCTGCTCACATTCTGCAAGGAGATGTTGGAAGTACTTCAACACATTCTCCGAGGTGGGTCTGGTGTCAATCTGAAGCTCCGCCTTCGCCAAGGACACCTTAAAGCGAAAGTCTTGATTTGTCTCCGCCACCTTCTTCGTTAAGACCCCCAAAGACTTCACCTGGACGGACTCATCTGGCAAGGAAACACCAAGATCCAAAGCTCGCTGGTACAGGCGATACCATCTCCGTAATGCAACCACTGCATCCGTCGCTGTTCCTGGAGATTCACTCACCTCCAACTGTTTCAGAAGTTGTGCCCGGTCCTGAGCGCCCCCAGGCTGGTACACAGCCATCAGCCTGAACAGTATCTGATGAGTCCCCTGCACACGATAGGCCACTAGCTCATCTCGGACACCTGTCGGAAGCGCTGCTAGAAGTAAGGCTGCCACCTTTTTCGCAAGCTTCTGGTACTTGCCGTCCTGAAGCTCCTCTGATAGCCTTGCTTTCACCCCAAGCCGCTTGATCGGCGAAAGCGCCTGATACTCCTGGTATGCTTCCAAGGCCGAACCCATGACTTGTTTCCACCACTCGCCAGCGCTTGCCGCCATAGCAGACACTTGTTGCTCCACAAGATACAGCCAGTCCTGGAAGTCTATGGCACCAGATTCCGGAGTGTAGTCAGGCAACATCGGAAAATTCGGCGACGCCTTATCCACATCCAACCCGTCTCCCTTCTTCAGCAACATCTGTTGCAGCTGCCCGATACCTGTAAGCACAATGTCCATCGGAGAAGGGCTTGACGGAGCTGCAGGCGCCACATCGCCTGGTTGTTGCTCGCTTCCTGGAGCAACGGGAGGACTGAGACCAGGAGGAGCTTCACAAGGCGCACCAAGGGTTGCAACTCCCTCAGGTCTCTTCAGCGGCTCATAATCTCCCCTTATCCCTAGCTCAGGCTCCAAGCGAGCCCTGAAGGCTCGGTCAAACGGCGGGACACCACAGACATCCCCTCCAGACAACCTCTCACCCACAACTCCTCTACCACCACTTGGCGACGGACTCGCTGAGGCAGATCGCTTGGCACCATAACCACGAGCATACACATTCCTTGGCCTGTTCCCAAGCTCGCCATGTCCTCCTGCACTTCTTGACCTGGCACCAGCTTCGCCCCTCTGTGCACGAGGACCATCATGGGCCCGAGACATCGACGGAACTGGTTGACGACCTTCCCGAAGAGCTCCCCGAACCCCAGAAGTCACACTTGTTGCTGCAAAGACCCGATCACCATGAGGTACACCACGATCCTCAGGAAGTGCATGAGATGCTGGGTAGGCCCGATCTCCATGAGGTACACCACGATCCTCACGAGGTGCATGAGCGAAAGAGGCCCGATCTCCATGAGGTACACCACGATCCTCACGAAGTGCATGAGATGCTGGGTAGGCCCGATCTCCATGAGGTACACCACGATCCTCACGAAGTGCATGAGATGCTGAGGAGGCCCGATCTCCATGAGGTACACCACGATCCTCACGAAGTGCATGTGTTGCGAAAGAGGCCCGATCTCCATGAGGTACGCCACGATCTTCATGAAGCACTTGAGTTGCGAAAGAGGCCCGATCTCCATGAGGTACGCCACGATCCTCATGAAGCACTTGAGTTGCGAAAGAGGCCCGATCTCCATGAGGTACGCCACGATCCTCATGAAGCACTTGAGTTGCGAAAGAGGCCCGATCTCCATGAGGTACACCACGATCCTCATGAAGCACTTGAGTTGCGAAAGAGGCCCGATCTCCATGAGGTACACCACGATCCTCATGAAGCACTTGCGATGCTGAGTAGGCCCGATCTCCATGAGGTACACCACGATCCTCATGAAGCACTTGCGATGCTGAGTAGGCCCGATCTCCATGAGGTACACCACGATCCTCAGGAAGCTCAGACTGCTCCCTCATCTGCCGCTGCGCCTCATTCCATAGAGCCCCACCCCGGCCTTGTCCTTTCACATCGCCACCACCCCCAAAAGCCATCTCCCGCAATCGCTCATTTTCTTCTTGAAGGCGCTCAAGCCTTCCCTTCTGTCCTGCCAAGGCCGCTTCCACTTGTCTTCTCACCTCCTCCTGCACCAACTCCACCGGAATGGACGCCGATGAAGCATCGTCTGTTCCCACACTCCTCGGACCATGCAGCAAAGGAGCCTGTCTTGCCCAGCCTTCCATAATACGACGAGCACTGCTGGGAAACAGAGGAGGATCCCCACTTTGTTGTCCTGTCGGAGAAAAACCACCAGACATAGTTGCCGCTGCTGCCGGGTATGTTGCATGCTGCGGTGTGGAGGGGTGCGAAGTGGTATGCTGCTGCTGCAACTGCTCATGTTGTTGAACCACTAAACCACCACTACTACCCAACACTCGTTGCCTCGTGAGCGTCGTTGTCAGCGTCTCAACCTGTCCGGAAGCTTGGCGAAGATAATCCCCGAGACGACTCATCCAGGACGGGACTGGCAAGGCAGTCCCACCCTGGGAGCCTCCCGGGTGATTATCCGTACTCGCCCGCGCGACCAAGTGCGGAATCGTTGGCCCCACATTCCCAGCAGACACGGAAGACGTTTCTTGGCGAAGCCCGGAATCACAGGAAAATGTACCAGGCGGTCCCACATCTTCTGTCCTTGAAGTCATAGCTGGTGGCCATGGAGCGCTTTCCAAACTCGCTGCACCAGGTGAGGCCTGCACCATATCCTCACGCCTTACAACATCAGCCGAAAGTACCCCATTGGGCATCGCATTTCCAGCAGGATGACGATCGTAGCGCGGACCAGCAGTCTCACCTTCCAATCTCGAATCAATGGCACGCCGAGCACCAGTTGGGCTCATAACCCCTTGGTCCTCGTGAGGACCAGGGGCGGAGGGCGCAGGAGCGGCCATCGAAAAGAGGGATCTAAGGGAAACCAGGACTACACCCAGAAAGCCCCAGCTTCAACCAAACCCTCAAGACGGAAAAAACCCTGGACGGGGACCGCCGGGCTAGGGGGGGTCCGGAAGAGGCTAGACCAGCCTAAGCTAGAGGAACCACCCGGGAAACACCCCCCAAAACCCTCACACCCCAATCCAGGCACGCACTTTTTCATGCTTGAGCCTTGAGCCAAAATCCAGTCGCAATGCTTACATATGCGGAGCTCTGCTCTCGCCTGTGTCGAAGCAATGCTTACATATGCTGAACGTCCTGCACACCTGTGCTGAAGCAATGCTTACATATGCAGAACATCCTGCACACAAAGGCATGGTGCCCTTCTCCACTTCAGCCTTCTCAGAGGCTTCCCTTATCCCAACATAGTAATAATAGTAGTAGCAGAAGTAGCAGTAGTAGTAGTCGTAGTAGTAGTGGTAGCAGTAGCAGTAGCAGTAGCAGTAGCAGTAGCAGTAGCAGTAGTAGTAGTAGTAGTAGTAGTAGTAGTAGTAGTAGTAGTAGTAGTAGTAGTAGTAGTAGTAGTCGTCGTCGTCGTCGTCGTCGTCGTCGTCGTCGTCGTCGTCGTCGGTCGTCGTAGTAGTAGTAGTAGTAGTAGTAGTAGTAGTAGTAGTAGTAGTAGTAGTAGTAGTAGTAGTAGTAGTAGTAGTAGTAGTAGTAGTAGTAGTAGTAGTAGTAGTAGTAGTAGTAGTAGTAGTAGTAGTAGTAGTAGTAGTAGTAGTAGTAGTAGTAGTAGTAGTAGTAGTAGTAGTAGTAGTAGTAGTATGCGAAGTCGACCAACCTGGTCTTGCCCTAAACCAAAGCAAACGCAGGCGGTCACGCTTTTGTGACTTCGCGGGTTCACGCTCGCTGCAACGCCCGAGTGCGTCCGGTCGGACCGCGCAGCAACCTAAGAGCCACTGTACGAAACTACCGTGCACAATGGCGCAAGTCAGGGAGTGCGTGCAAAGCACAGCGGGAGAGGTGTCTACCTACCCACCTTTCATAAGGGAGACCCAACCCCACAGTGGATCCCCGACCGCATGGCAGGTGTAATACACCTGCGTGTGCACACACTGAGCGGCCATTACCGAGCCTTTCTCTGCCATTTTTTGACTCCGGGCAGTTGTGCACGCCACGAGAAGCTGCCATCACGATTGACCGCCTGCATGTGACGTGTGTAACAATTGAAGCCGGGCTCAGGACCAACATGAGCTGCGCATGCAAAATGCAAAAAAAAAAAGAACCATAGATTTCGCACACGCAGCAGCAGACCTGCATAGAAAGTCAGGAGGCTTGCCTTCGCTTAAAAGGTGCTCTCAACCTGGGTGCTTTGTGCAGTATTTAAGTTTGAGGCCAAAGATTTCTTGATGCGCTTACTTCAGGTGCATGGAACAAGCTCGCAAGACTTTAGAGACAAGCCAATCCGGATTCCCAATTAACAGCGGCCACACCATGTGCTCCGGGTTCTAGGGTGCGCACTTGACTCGCTGACAAGGTGGGTGTTGCAGGTGCAGTTGTAACCACGGTTTTCCCTTGATGGCAGCCCAATGAGCAGTGGCAGCATCATACCACGCATTCCGGGAACGTTGGGGTCCATGCTTAGTAGGTGTTGTGCTGAGCCCTTTCCAATGCTCATCGTCAATGACCGGCAGCCGAAAGGGAGCAGCAACATCAACTTCTCGCAAGGCCGCAAGGTCAGTAGTTCGCAGTTCAGAGAAACGCCAATCGTGCACCTGCGCCTCTGGTTCGTCCGCTTCCTCTGCCAGGTCCTCCATCGATGCGGGAGACACAGGTTCCGCGCCGGAAGAGACACTGTACACCTCCGGCGAGGTTTGGACCTCGTTCACACCCGCGTTGTCGCCACGAGGCGAGGCAAGTAGGCTTTCCAAGGGCAGCACACGCCGGAGGAACACAGCCATCCGAGCAGTAGTGTCGGGCCATTCCAGGTTAAAGACGGACCAAAAGTGCTCAATGTTCTGATTGGCCACCGAGGCTGCTAGGGCGAGCCTGATGGCCTCTAGAAAATGGGCCGGGGGCAACTCCGGCTTAAACTCTTGGTGTTGGCGCTGCCCAAGCGTTTGTGAGCCCTGCAGCGAAATTCCAAGGAACGCATTGTGCGAGCCTGGCTACCTCCATATTCGTGTGTTTGGCGGCCTCCGCCCATGCCTGCAAGGCCTCCTGGGACACCTGCCCACTGACCTGAGGGAGTCCGCTACTCGGGTCCACAGCATACTCGGTTGTAGGGCATGTGGGCAGCCGATAAGCGCGGCCCGCAAGGAAAGCCACCATGGCCGCTGGCGGCACATTGACCTGGAGGTCAGTAATCCTGTGGTCGGATTCGGGAAAGCCCACAACAATGGGCAGTCCGGCAGTGCGCTCCAGGGGGCCTTTTTCCCCAAACAGGAACCGTTTGGGGTCCTCTCCTCAGAAAAAAAAGTGTCACGCGCTTGGCCAGATGGGTGTCACGCGCTTCGGGCCTGTGGTCTCCCATGGTCTCCGATCATGGGCACAATTGAGGCCATTCGGGTCGGTGGGTGTCACGCGCTTCGGGCCTGTGCTCTCCCATGGTCTCGGACCATGAGCACAATTGGTGTCACGCGCTTCGGGCCTGTGGTCTCCCATGGTCTCCGATCATGAGCACAATTGAGGCCATTCGGGCCGGGTGGGTGTCACGCGATTCGGGCCTGTGGTCTCCCATGGTCTCCGATTTAGGGCCATTGGGGCCGGGTGGGTGTTGCGCGCTTCGGGCCTGTGGTCTCCCACGGTCTCCGATCATGAGCAGGATTGGGGCCATTGGGGCCGGGTCTCCGATCATGAACAGAATTGGGGCTATCGGGGTGGGGTGGTTCCCGCTAGTCTCCGCGCCATTGGGGCCGGGTGGGTGTCACGCGCTTCGGGCCTGTGGTCTCCCATGGTCTCCGATCATGGGTGGGTGTCACGTGCTTCCGGCCTGTGGTTTTTCATGGTCTCCGATCATGAGCGCAATTGGGGCCATCGGGGCCGGTGGTGTCGCGCTTCGGGCCTGTGGTCTGGCATGGTCTCCGATCATGAGCACAATTGGGGCCATTGGGGCGGGGTGGGTGTCACGCGCTTCGGGCCTGTGGTCTCCCACGGTCATTCGGGCCGGGTGGGTGTCACGCGCTTCGGGCCTGTAGTCTCCCATGGTCTCCGATCATGAGCACAATTGGGGCCATTGGGGCCGGATGGGTGTCACGTGCTCGGGCCTGCGGTCTTCCATGGTCTCCGATCATGAGCGCAATTGCCCGATTGGGGCCGGGTGTGTGTCACGCGCTCGGGCCTGCGGTCTTCCATGGTCTCCGATCATGAGCACAATTGGGGCTGGGCGGGTGTCACTCCCATGGTCTCCGATCATGAGCACAATTGGGGCCGGTGTCACGCGCTTCGGGCCGTGTCACGCGGTCCAGGTTTGCATGGTCTCCGAAGCGACAGGGGTTGGGAGGGTGTCACGCGCTTGGGTCCGTGGTCTTCCAGGGTCTCCGCTCATGAGCGAAATGGTCCGGGTCCGTGATCACAGTCTCCGATCATGAGTGACCGAGGTTGGGAGGGTGTCACGCGGGTCTGGTCTCCGATCATGAGTGCAGTCGGCTGGGTGGGTGTCACGCGGCTCGGGTCCGCGGTTGCGCATGGTCTCCGATCATAAGGGTTGTGAGCGCACTGGGGCCGGGTGGGTGTCACGCGGTTCGGGTCCGTGTTCCCCCACGGTCTTCAATCATGAGCGACAAGGGTTGGGAAGGTGTCACGGTTGAGTCCCTGGTCTCCGGTGAGGGTGTCACGCGGTTCGGGTCCGCAGTTCCCCTGGACTTCGATGAGCAACAAGCTTGGGAGGGTGTCACGCGCTGGGTTCGTGGTCTCCCAGATTCTCCGATCTTGGGCTGGGCGGGTGTCGCGCGACCCGGCTCCGTGGTCTCCCATGATCTCCGCTCGTGAGCGACAGGGGTTGAGAGGGTGTCACGCGCTTGGATTCGTGGTCTCACATGGTCTCCTGTCATTAGCGCAATGAGGCCGGACGGGTGTCACGCTGTTCGGGTCCGTGGTGAGTGGCAGGGGTTCGAGGGTGTCACGCGCTTGATGGTCTCCCATAATTAAATCATCTGGGAGGGTGTCGCGCGCTTGTTCGTGGTCTCCCATGGTCTCTGAGCACGATGGGCGGGTGTCACGCTGTCCGGTTTCGTGGTCTGTCACGGCGTCCGATCATGAGCGACAGAGGGTGTCACGCGCTTGGGTTTGTGGTCTCCCAACATCTCCGATCATGAGCGCAATGGGGCCGGGCGGGTGTCACGCGGTTCGGGTCCGTGGTGAGCTACAGGCATTGGGAGGGTGTTCACGTGCTTGGGGTCTCCGATCATGGGCTGGCGGGTGTCACGCGGTCCGGGTCCGTGCCGTGATCTCCGATCATGAGCGACAGGGGTTGAGAGGGTGTCGCACGCTTGGATTTGTGGTCTCCCATAATCTCCGACCATGAGCGCAATGGGGCCGGGCACGCGGTTAGCTACAGGCGTGGGGAGGGTGTTCACGCGCTTGGGTCTCCGATCATGGGCTGGCGCGTGCCACGCGGTCCGGGTCCGTGGTCTCCCGTGATCTCCGATCATGAGCGACGCAGCGACAGGGGTTGAGAGGGTGTCACACGCTGGTCTCGGACCATGAGCGCAATGGGGCCGGGCGGGTGTCAGGCGGTTCGGGTCCGTGGTGAGCTACAGCTACAGGCATTGGGAGGGCGTTCATGCGGGATTTGAATGCGTGTAGAACCATAATCACCGTTTTGCAAAACTCCCGAAAAGGGGCCCAAAATCAAAAGCGACATGCCCAGATGCATTTTGCAAAGCAGGCAAAATGCATTCGCGCAGCTTGCTCCTTCCAAAACCACAATAAAAGACTCACTTGATAACTGACGTTTGTGTCAAAGACCGAATGCATTTTTCGCCTGTGCCCAAATGCATTCAGCTGTTTTCGCTTGGAA